AACATAGACCTGGCCCTTGTTGTGTACCAAGAGACGGTTATCTTTTTTGATCCTCCAAGCAATGGGATGAGCTTCTCCGAGGCTTATCATAGCTTGTTTCACACACTCGGTCCCTTGCTAGCTGAATATGATTTCTTAGCCGGGCGGCGTGTGCCAAGTTTGGAAGACAGCAATCACTTTGAAATCGAATGCAACGGTGCAGGTGTTGTTGTTGCTGCAGCTAGGACAGATACCAAGCTGGATGAATTTGGTGAGCTTTTGGTACCCAAGAAAGAGTTCAGGCAGTTTGTTGCTTTCTTGCCACAAGAGGCTGAGGAAATGGATCACAAAGATAAGCCCCTTGTGTCGTTTCAGGTCTGCTCTTATCGTCATTTCACTATTCAAATAAGTCCTGATCAATCTTTGGCTGTGAAAAATGAACAAAAGTCCCAAATTGATCACAGTAATGTATGTTTGTTGTGACAGTTCACTCAGCTTGGATGTGGAAGCCTAGTGTTTGCCTCCAGGTTCAATCATTGCGCAGTCGATGGGGTTGCAGTCCGGGAGTTTGAGGCAAATTTAGCAGCTCTAACTCGCGGTGGTAACTTAGTCATTCGACCAAATGCAGATCGAACAATGTTCAAAGCTCGAAACCCTCCAAACATCAGTTTCCCACATTTTGAGTACTCAAAAGCCACTGATAGAACTGGCATATTCACTGTCCGTGGTCTGAGTGGCACCAACATGAAACTATCCACAACTCTTAACCCAACACGACTTATCTATTTGTCCCAAGATCGTATTGCCAGCTTGAAGAAGGCAGCCCTTAAAGATGGGAAGTTGAAGAGCTGCACTAGTTTTCAAGTTGTTGCAGCAATGACTTGGAAGGCAAGGAGCATTGCGGTTGATATGCCAGATGAAAAAACTTGGACTATTTTTTATTCCAGTCGATGTTCGCAAACAAGTTGTGCCTCCAGCCCCACCTGGATTTGCTGGAAATGCATTGGTTCCTGCCTTTGCACATGCAACTGTGAAGGAGATCAAGGAGGAAGATGACTCTTCCCTTGTAAGGAAGGTGCAAGAAGGGGTAGAGAGATTGGATGATGAGTATGTGAGGTCAGGGATAGATTGGTTAGAGGTGAATAAAGGGGTACCTTGTGAAGAAGATAGCTTCTCACTGGTGTCATGGTGGAAATTGGGGATAGAGCATGGTGAATTCTCATGGGGACAAGTTAAGTGCACCACGTCGGTTCTACTCAAGCCGGGCCTTGTCATGCTGCTGCCAGTACCGGAAGGAAAGGGAGGCCTCAGCATATGCCTGGAACTACCTGATGATCAAATGGAGTTGTTCTGCAGGTTGATGCTGGGCGAGTAGTATACATGATAAGATGAATTCATTTGTTTCTATATTTATACTAATTCAGCACATGAGGCCTTGTGCAGGCCTTTTTATCTCAAGAAGTCAAGGCTGTATTAGATCAACTGTTTCATTCCTCAGCTTAATATTTCTTGAACAAATAGAATGCTAATTAGTACATAAATACAGAGGAAGGTAGGACGACTATGGGAAATTTCCATAAAGTAAAATTCTTACAACAAGGCAAAAGACTCAGTATAAGATTTCTAACATGACATTCCTAGAGATTAATCAATAATTCATCAACGCTGCATACTTTAGCCACTTTTCCTTCCAAGTTTAAGACCCAATTCATTGAACCTTGTATCACAAGTCTCTCTTGCCCCCTACAGAAGGCCAAAGAACGGGTTTGTCAATGCAGACTTCAGCTCAGAAGCAGCTGAGTTTAATGTTGCCATGTCAACCTTATTGTGAGGAAGATACAAAAACTCTCCCCCTTCAGTTGTCTCAAACCCACAGAGCTCAAGGAATTCAAGTCCTCCAATCAAACTCCCAACTCTATCCTGCTCAATAAATTTCAATAAACACGAATTTAGACAATATATAACCGTTGTTAATTGTGTTTATTCTAAGCCTTTCTTTTCTAACCATCCCCAACAGAAAGAACACTAACAAGCATTGGCACACACTAAGTCGGAAAACTGAAGAGATAAGTCAAAGCACAGCTTACCAAGAATAATGGATTACTGAGTCTGATCTTCCTGAATTTTTCTTCATTAGGATTCCTTGCAACATTTCCAACATAAATCAGCAGGGTCTGGAAGGCTTGTCGCACTCTAGCATCGTCATCCTAGACCCACCAAAGAAAACCAATCGATAGGAAAATATGCCTACTAAAAGCAACATTTCTGTGATCTCCTTATTTTTCTTTTATGATAAGTAATGCATGGTACTAATGGGTATTCATGGTTGTTCTAGACCAATGTGTTATGAAACAAAACAGATTTTTGATATTTCAATAGCTATGAGGGCTCCTAATGATCTTTTTGGACTATTTTCTGTTATTCAAAGATGTAGCTCAAAAGGGCAACAAGGAAAGATTACTTTCTTTCTTGTAACAACTAGTTTGGGAACCTATTACTACGTTGAAAAAGTGAATCAGAGCCATATACCTTGTGGTTGCGCCTCAAGGACCGTAAACATTCTCTCATACGTTCTGATTTTGCAACAGAACGGACTGGAAATGGATTCTGACATTAAAGAGTAGGAAGATAACATTCAGGATATTTATATTATGAAATTCCCAGCAAAAACTATGTTTTTCAATGAGATAAATGAAACTTTAAATCTATAGACACCAGTACAAAATATTGATACCTGTTCTATCCTCACCGCAGGTGTACGTTCCTCAGCTACATGCTGTTCTGGTGGCAATCCAAGATTGACCCTTCTTTCTAACTGTAAAGACATGCATACAGTTTTAGGAGTAATTCAACACTTATGAACCCCTTTTTGGGCATATGTCTAAAAGAAAAGTGGATTAGCATTATCTAAGCACCTTATCCTGTTTTAGTTTCCAGCGAATTCTTTCTCTTGCTCGTTTCTCTTCCTCTTTCTCAGCTTTCTGACACTCTATATTACTGAGAAGACAAAGTTCTTATTCCACTCAGAAGTAGTATTAGGCTAAATGAAATAAAACAGACAGAAACAAAGAGAACAAATACTGAATTGAGACAGACCGTTTTCTTTCATTTTCTTGTAAACTTCGTTTTGCTTCTATGAGTTGCTTACCAGATTGAATCCTCTCCTGAAACAAAAACAAAAAAAGTATCTGGGTTGGTTAAAACCAAAAGGATAAAGACTCTGCAGCTTCAGTTTACAACATTGATGAGGGATGTAGAGAGAGTGCCTAACAAGCAAATAAACAGAATTCTAACTGCAAATTTAGTCAAATCCCAAAGAATTAGAACAAGAAAACAAGGGTGACATGCTGTGATTCAATAACAACCAACTCATTAGGAACCATAATTTCCCTAATCTGAAGGGGGAAAAAAAGGGTATCGAAAGTTCATCATTTATACAATCCAAATTCGTCATGATTTGGTCAAACAACAAAGATAAAAATGACATAGATAACTGAACAATACCTTCTCCCTTTCTCGTTCCAACTTCTTTTCTTCTTCTTCCTTCTTCTTGCGTGCTCGATCCCTGTAAATGTCTCAAACATCATGTAATTTAAAGAAATCAAAAGATTACAGAGTTGAGAAAAAAAAATCGAACAGGCAGTTGAAACTAATGAAGAGGGAACTTATGTGTGCATAAGTGCATTTAATGTTACATAAAACGATAAGGATGATGAGAAAGTAACCTTAACTCCTGTGCTTTTATTTTCATCGCTTCTGTGAAATAGAATGGTTCTGGAGATCCAATGCTAATGTCCACTGTTACCTGTGAGTAGTTGACCAGTTGAGAGTAAATCCTCTATGAAATCCCACTGGAAATTATTTTTTGTTATCTGTCTCATGCTTTAAAAACCGAACACCACCAATTCGACATGTTTGTTGTAGCACTGGAAACCTGAATGCAATGAAATAAAGATGCACAACCAAAGTACGATAACAAATCATACCAAGGGCATCTCATCAATGTCGGCATCGTTCTCGTGATCAACGATCCAATCTATTGCAGCCGCTAAACTAGCATTGCCTGGTAAAAAGGAAAAACAAATGAACCTACAAACTTGAATCTAGAACATGCACATGTATGAAAACCAAACCAAAACAAACATGAATTCAACTAAACCAAGCCTCAAATGCACACAAAATTCTTAGATCCTCCCAAGAAGAATACTTATTAAACTACCATTAGAAGCTTAAATCTGGACCAAATGATCATCATAACAATGTTGAAGAATTTCATTTAACCCTCCACCATAAACACTTCAAATTACCAATTCTAGGCACACTTTTAAACCACAAGTAATTCAAGATTTTCATCCAATTTTGAAAGCTGAAAATGGTAAAGGAAAAAGCTTCACCAGAATAATGAAGTGCTCGTGTTGCTCGAGGTCTTGGAAATCCCATTGCTTCAAGCTCCTCAAGCATTTTCTTGTCAACTTCCGGAACAGGCATTGTTGTATTTGGGTGGGCAAGGTTTGCGCTTTACATTAGAAACTGGAGATGAAATGGGGATAGAGATAGGGAGGTTTAAATGAAGTGGGTTCAGAGAAGTCCTACAATGGAAGCCTTGTAAAGATCGGACAGCCATTTTCAAGAGATTTCTGAAACCTTCTCAGCTTGTGAATATTTTGATTCTCAATTTATACCTTTCGGCTTCCTGGCTCTTAAGAAAAGAATAGGCCACGTAGGATTGGGCTTCTCTCTTCTTTTGTTTTTATTGGGTTCTTCAAATCTTCAACTAGCCCAATTTCTTTTACTGGTCTGCAACTCCGACTTCCCCACAAATATTGTGCCAGATTTTAGATGGAGTCAAAGCCCAAAACAATCATTTCTATTTTATTTTATTTTCACCTTCAATGATTCAAATTCAATCGCAGCCGTTAATTGATTCAATCACCTTCAATATTTCACCTTCTTTACTTAGAATTTCATAATAAAAGTGTAACTCATCTGCGAAGCTTGCTCTCTATATTGCTGAATCTTGTAATTTTTCTTTAATATTTTATGAATATCGATTTTTTTTTCCTATTTTATTCATTTTCACATTTCGTGTTGAAGTAATTTTTTTTTATTTTTATAAGCGATATTAAGTGATGGGGAGTCGAGTACAAGGGATTTCCAAAAACTTCAGTACAGTTTAGAATGTCAAAATCGTCACCTATTCTCTTTCCTATTTCATCCGTAATTTTGATTTACCTTGGTTTATATGGCAAAGAACAAAAATGTTACATCACCTCCACCAGGACCCGCCCTAAAGAAAAGTTTTAGACACTTCCAGAAACCGTTGGAACTTGGAACCTCCACACTGTGAGACCGATACAAAAATTTACAAGCAAAAAATAAAATACAAATTTATAAGTAAAAACCGACTTCTTGCTTTAGCTGGTAGCTCCCAAAATCACAAAAATCAGAGAGAGATAAAGATGGCAGAAAACAAAGCCAGAAGAACGATCAAGCTGTTCTGCCCATCAGTGGCAAAGACGGTGTCGTTGTTGGTATGGGAGGAGCAGAGGCTGGACTTGGGCTCCATAGCCAGAACGTTTGGGCTGGACCCACCAACCCTGAAGCTCAACGGTCACTTTATCAGCAGAGGGCTCGACCTCATCGCCTCCTCAGTCACCTGGAAGGCCCTCCTTTCTTTCTTCTCTGCTAGAGGACTCTCAACAGGGGAAAACGACAGCAACCCCATTGTCGTTGATGGCAAGCTCTGCAAAGTTGGCACCAAGCGTAAGTTCTACCACCAACTATTTTATTATCTGTTCTGGGTAAATGGGTACCTTCAGATTTGATTGTTGGTTCGTTTCGATCATGAAAGATTGAATCTTTGATTTTGCAGGAGGACATGAACTACACGAGGTCGTTGATAACAGAGGAAGGGCAGCTTTTGAAGATGGCAGCTTGCTGATCAAGAGTAAAAAGATGAGGAAAAGCAACCCAGGTCCATCAACTGAAAGCAATGGCAGAATTGGTATTTGCTCTTCCAAGAGAAAGCAATTGTTAGAAGATGTAAACTTGCTCAAAAAGCTAAAAATAAGTGAAACTAACCCAGGTACTGATTCATTCTGGCTTAACTTTGAATTGGTTTTTCTGGGTTGTTTTTGGGTTAACTTTTTATTATAAGTTAACACAACTGGTTCTATGGGATTTTTCAGATATCCAAGGAAGAAGTACAAGCCATTCCAGCAGCATCTCAGGTGCCCAACTTAGATGCAGTTATATGAGGGGGAAGATGAAGAGGAATACAGAAGATGAGGCAGTCGCGTCTGCTCCTTACAAAGAGATTTTATGAAGCTTCTCATGTTTGTCTTGTTTTCTTTTTTCTTGGTTCTCCTTTTTCTTTCATAGTTTGGTTTGGTTTTTATGCTTCTTGATTTAACTTGTAAATGATGAGTATAATGTAAGAACAATGAAAAGACTTTTGGTTTGGCAACCTAATTCCAGCATTGACAATCATCATATGTGTGTTTCATTCACTCAGTGTAAAGAAAACAGAAGCAATAGATGAGAAAATTCGAAGACTGAAAATTGAAGAATAATAAATTCCCTTTGTTTAAGCGTTTTTCGGCCCACAAAACTGGACAAACATAACCCAAAAATGTTGAACTGAAATAAGAACGAACTACAAAAGAAAAGGTAAAGGTCAGATATCAAACGGCTATAGACATGGTAGGATTAATTCTGTTCCTTCTTGAACTTCTTTTGGCAAACACAAGAACGCAAACTCTGCCAGCCCCCTTCTACTTCAGCCAAAGTCGATACTGACTTTCAAGTTTCGCGATCGCTGCAGCATTGGTGTAGTTGTAAGCTTCCCCAGCCTCGTCAAGTAGGGATAGGAGACTGTCTAAGAGCGGAATTGTTACGGTCAATTGCCTGTGTGAATAGTGTAACGTTTAGTGATGTAGCCTCATGTGAACATGGCCGACTACAATTGGGGCTGAGGTCACTGTGGGGGAGCACTACAGTACTGAAGATACTGTAACTAAGTTCTACCCCTCATGTGAATTAGGGCTCTAAAAATGGCAAGCTCATATTGTACAGTAAAGGACCTAATTGGCACCTATTGTACAATGACTTAGACACATCATCCAAAATAAACTTGCCAAAAGACAGCAATTCCAGCCACAAGTATAAAAAGTATAAGTTTTGAACTGATGAAGGATGATGAATTGGAAGGCGGCTGAGGCGGCTCAAATGGTCTTCCTCTCAGCTTGGCAGACACCCTAGATAACAGCTGTCGGAGCCGACCAGTTTCCTTGGTAGCTGCAAACAAACATGAGAAGCTGAACATCATAAGCCAGTGAAATAAGAAAGCAAACACAACAGCAAATTACAAGTTTCTTTAGTTAATATTGGTAATTCAAGGCTAATGAATTCAATCATACAAGATGAGAAACTGTTGAGCATGATTGACTATTCCTGGTACCCATATAACTCTCAAGTGTCTCTCTCCATGTATTTATTTATTGAAAAGGAAACGATTAACTGCATTAACTGTTAATGAAAGAGTAACAAGCTAAGAGAGGAACGTTCCTGCTGTGTTGTAAAACCATGAGACTTCCAACAAATATTATGATAAAAATAGACAATCTAACCTTTGCTCTTTGAAGATCTTTCCTCCTCACCAACACGCTTTCGAAGTACATTGAGCAAAGAACCAAAATGCAAAGCACATACAGTGCATGTAATTGTGATAACATTGTAAGGCATGCTAAAATCAGGAGTCGTCAACGGTACAAGTAATACTTCTGTGTATGCCAGAACAGCATTGTTTTCCTACACAAATAAAGAGAGTAAACTACAGGCATAAAAATCAAGCACTGTGACGTGCACACCAAAGAACGTATGGCAGTTAGAATACCTGGAATTTGGATAAGATGGAGGACCTATCCACAGATTTATCCGTAAAGAACTGCATGCTTGTATGGAAGTTGGGAAAGCTTATAATGGCTGCTGGAATATCGAATCCTTGATTGGCATCGGGAGGATACTCATCAATATGCAAAAACCCCTACATAGATATTATAACAGTCATAAGAAAATAAACAAGTAAAGAATAAATTTAGTGTACATTCAAACTTCAGCCTATGTTCCAAGCAAATAGGATGATACAAAAATTTCCCATCAACAATGCTTCAGTCACGATTGTCTTCCATGAGCTTAGCAAGAATTTTAACACCACAGGAATTCCAGCATAGTTATAACCCCTTGAAAATTTCTAATAACTTTCATGCCAACCAATGCTATAATAAAGGAAAAAGAAATTCCAAAGCATACCTTATCAAATTCTAAGGTTATAGCTGCTGATTTCATTCCACAAGGGAATTTCAGGACCATCTCCATCACCCCAGGTGACACTTTGTCTACAGAAGGTGAAACACGCATCTTTTCAACAACATCTGAAACTTCTTGAGGTTGTTCATTAACATACACTCGCACTGTATGAAAATAAACCTTAATATACCAAGGCACAACCTGAAAAACTTTAACTTCCAATTTGCACCTGCCTTCACTCATATCACTATGCAAAAACTCATCACTCACTTCTGTAGATCTCAAGGATATTGCAATAGCACCCCTTTCATTCCCACTTCCCATCAAGAACCTACTAGCATGTAATGGTGCTTTCTGACAGGACCAAACTACAGGAAGCTTCCAAGTTAGGCCTAAATCAAATGGCCTAGACTCACTGTACTTCTCAATATAAAATTCATACACAACAGATGGGGTCTTCTTTTCAAAGCCATTCAGTTCTTTTAATACCCTGTCCGGCTTAACAGACAATTCAAATCCAGGGTTACTACTAAAACCTTCATAGACAGATTTATCAGCACTAGATAACTCATTTTCTTTCTGCAAGTAATCCAGCTGACCAACTAGCCCCCTATCAAGCTGAAGGTATATGGTGGAAGACTTGGCAAGTACACATCTTCCAGTGACCATCCTCCCAAAAATTGAAGTCAAGGACCAGCTTGGTTGTAATTTTGTTTCATGGGAATAAGACATAACATTTCTCTCACTATTGGGCTGGACAACAACTGTGAGTGTTTGTTGTAGAACAATTCCTGAACCTCCCTCCTCTGATTCAGATTCACTTGAGGTCAAGCGCAACTGCTGTGAATGATAAAATCCTTTGTAGATAGATGGTCTATCCATTAATGCAGAAAGCCCAGCTTTATCTCTACAAGGAAGGAGCTTCAGCCATGGAGTTAGGTTCTCAGTGCAAACAGCCTCACGGGGCAATGTACCGTACCTCAGACTGCCAGGTGCTGGGCGATAGCCCCATTCAGGAGCAGAATATGTTGTAGACGATTCTAGGAAGTTGACTGAAGCACAAAAGAGACCCGAAAGAGCATGGGTTAAATTCTTCCAAGAATCATCCACCTGTTCAAGAGGGACATCAAAGACAGCCCACAACTCAACTCCAGGAGGCTTGGCATTGTTGCTTGATATGGGATCAAACCCACCCCAACGATCATAGTTCCAGCGACCTTGTGTGAAAGATAATTCCATTTCCTTAACATGAAACTTCTGAACCTGTCCAACCAACACTATCCCGCAAGTTACTTAGTAGTT